AGGGTGTTTGTGCCCAAAAGCTTGCAATTAAAGACAGAATGTTTGCAAAAATCTTGTTGGTCTAATAAAAGATGTCATCTTTACTATAAGTCCTGATTGCCTACTACCGCCAAACATCCTCCACCTTCACTCGGGGCATTTGGCAGGCATCCGATGTGCAGGCCCAAGGCTCGGGGCTTGGGGTTTGGATGCCCCTGGGTTTCACTTGCCCTCAGCCGTATGGCTGCAGGAGCAAGCTAGTTGAAGCAGACTGGTTGTTTTGTTACTGTACAGTTGACTAGTTGGGAGCTGGGCACACACTTTGTATTTATGAGGTTTCTCAGGAGTGCGGGACTGCCCGATGGTTTCCTGTTATAGGGCTGCTCATTAGCACAGGGTAATGCATGCTTTTCTTGTAGGGGAGTGTACCTCACACCTACCAGTCTCTCCCAGTACCATGTCAGCCTCCACATCCTTGAGTCTCAGGTTAAGAGCTCAATACGTTCATTTAATCAGATCGGCTGAAACACCATCAGGCACATAGCCTATGGCCAAGGTCTCCCATAGGGCCATGGTAGTGAGGGAGTCCCCTGTAGGACGGGGCACTGTGATTGGATGACCAGGCAGAGTTAGCTCATTGCAGAAATGCAGACTGAATTTCTATTGCCTGAAAATATGAGGCACTTCCTGTAGCGACTGCCAGAATCATCAAATTAGCATAAATTCTATTAACAGTTTCCCAGACAAGACATTTCAAGGCCTGGCCCCCTGATGCAAACAAAAGAGAATATAATTACTTTGCAATAAAGAGACTGGCAGAAGGACCTGCAATCTTAACTCACTAGTAATTTTTTGTTCTCCTTTGAAATAATATTGCATATAAAAGGCACCTACAACTCTCACTCCGCAAAGCCTCCATGGACCTAGGCTAGGCTAGAACGAACCAGAGCCAAAACATCTGCCTTTCTGTTTCTTTGGCCCATCTGACCCCTTTTTGCTATTTTGCAAGGCAGTGTTTTAATCTAATCTAGCAGCATCGCCACAAGCTCTGGTATCATCAGAATATCAACATGGCTGAGACCTGGTCAGCACTTGAGTGGGTAATATCCATCTTATTACAGGAAGCTTCCCTTGGTCACTCAGTGGTTGAGAATATAATGCAAGATGGGATCCTGTTTTTTAAAGCAAGGTTTCAAGGAAAAATCTTTTGAGGAATTATTCTTCTGAATGGCGAATCGTTAAGAAATTATTTAAATTGTGTTAAAGGGCTCCTGGAGGCAATTATACCCAGCAGTTAAAAGAAGACTCTATAGATAAAAAATGTCATTAGAGTATCCGGTTTATCTCCCTGAAAGCCTAGGTCCTGGGATTTAGGACTCTTGAGTTGTGTTCCTGACTTACTTTGGTTTACATACCTAAACAAAACTATAGACAAATCCAGCTATTTTCTCCCGAAAGCAGAGAAGGGTGCAAGGAAGGAGGGAAGGCAGTGGGCAAGCATAGGAGAGAGTTACTGTTATTTATAACTACTTGGGAGGAGCTCTGGTGCTAGTCTAATAGGCGCCTTGTCCCAAATACGCAACGTTCATCTGCTCTCACGCTGCGTGACTCAGTTGCAGAATACTGTGCCTTGCATGGGCTTGTTCATCGCACAGCAAACTAGTGGCTACCCCAGTGTTTTCCAACCTTTTCCAGCCCAAGGCACACTTACATGAATACAAATTTTCCATGGCACACCTGTAAAGGCATTCCCCGTCCTCATACCTATTGTAGCTCATTGCCATGGCAAAATTCAGCGGCACGCCTGTTCATTTCTGACAGCACACGTTTGTGCCGTGGCACACTGGCGGGGAAACAGTGGGCTACCCAATGGCGGGCTACAACACGCCTTGTGCCAGGCACATTGCACTCCCATGGGTACGCCCTCTGTAACATTGCTCTCCCTCATCTCTGCTTTGGGCAATAGAGATAAAATAAAAGATACTGAAATAAACTCTCAGCCAGACTCTGATAATCCTACGCTGCCAGTGCACTGGGACATCGTCCTCCCACCAATAGCTCGGCTTCCCCCAAGACGCCTGGTGTGGTCCACCCTTTCAAAACCCTCTGACTTGTCCTTACTTACTCGATGGCACGAAGGACGGTCAGCACAAACACCAGTCACTCACCACATCTCTGGCCCTATAGACAGTCAACCAGGATTTAATTGGCCACATCGTATCCTTTTAAATCATTTCCATCTTCCTCGATCCTCCTGGTCCTTTCCTCAATCTTCCTGGTCTTCTTCCTCGATTCTCCCAATCTCAGGCTATGGGCTGAGGAGGGAGAGGAGAATCGAGGTAGTCAACCAAAGACTGCGGTGCTGGTGTCATCGGGAAGGCTTTGGCTTCCACGATCACAGTCTGCTCTTTGGTGACAGAGGCAGTGGACTGCTGGGAAGAGATGGCCTCCAACTCACTCCGCTAGGGAGGAGGCTTTTCTCAGCCAGACTGGCTGACCTGCTCCACCGGGCTTTAAACTGAGCCTGCCAGGGAATGAGGGGACCACCACCACTGCAAGCTCATTGGGCTGCTTTTGCAAATCCAGAAGGCTAAGGCAGTCAAGGGAACCCACCCCTACCCCAGCCCCAGAGCGATCCATAGGGAAGATAAGGGCCCCCAATGGGGCACTTGCATGCCTGTACACCCATGCCAGGAGCTTGGGGAATAAACAGGGGGAACTGGTCCTCCTACTAAACCGAAAGGTTTATGATCTCATAGGGATAACGAGACCTGGTGGGACTCCACCTATGACTGGGCCACAGGTATAGATGGCTATGCCCTGTACAGGAGAGATTGAGTGGACAAAAGGGATGGTGGGGGGTAGCTCTCTATGTCAAGGAAAGGTGTGCATCCCCGCAAGCTGACATTGGCACCCAGGGTGGATGACTGGAGACTCTCTGGGTCAAAATCCGTGGCGAACATGGCACAGGGGGACACAATGGTGGGCGTCTACTTCAGATCTCCTAGCCAGGATCAAGAGCTTGACCAGGAATTTGCCAGGGAACTGGCCGAGACTGCATGCTCCCGGTGCATGGTTCTTATGGGAGACTTCAACTACCCAGGCATCTTGTAGGAAGAGCACTCAGCCACATCCAAATGGTCGCAAAGCTTCCTCCTGTGTGTGGATGAGCTCTATCTGACTCAAGAAGTCTATAGATCGACGAGAGGCAAAGTGCTGCTCGACCTGATACTAGCAACAGGGGATGACTTAATCAGTGCCCTAACGATAGAAGGGAAGCTGGGAGACAGCGACCACGAGCTGATCACCTTCACCATCCACTGTAAAGCTGGCAAATCAGTCAGCAAAGCAGAAGTCCTTGACTTCAGGAAAGCTGACTTTGATAAGCTCAGGAGGTTTGTTGGCGAGGCCCTAAGGTACCACGACCCAAAGGAGAGGGGAGTTCAGGAAGGATGCATGCTCCTCAAGGGAGCAAACCTGGAAGCTCAAGCAATGTCTATCCCATCTTGTAGGAAAGGCAGCAAAAAGGCACAGCAGCCCCCTTGCCAATGCAGGGAACTAGAGAACCTCCTGCAGCTAAAAACACAGACCTACAAAGGATGGAGAACTGGATCCACCTCAAAGGAGGAGTACTCTGCACTGGTCCGGACCTGCAAGGAACGAACGAGGAAAGTCAAGGCTGCGATTAAACTCCAACGGGCTACACATATCAAGAAAAATAAAAAGTCCTTTTTTTAGATATGTGGGGAGTCTTAGGAAAAGCAAGGGCAACACTGGACAGCTGCTAAACCATATGGGTCAATGGACAACCAGGACCTTGAGGCCCAGGGATGGCAAGAAAAGCTGAGCCTGCCTACAAGTGGGAGGCACCCTTGCCTTTCTCCTGCTTTCCCTGACTAGGAATTGAACCTAGACCACAGTGATAAGAGCACCCAATCCTAACCACTAGACCACCAGGAAAGGGCTGAAGGGCCCTGGCGGGCGCAGCCACACAACAGGAGTGCCTCTGGGGCACAGGCTGGAATTTGTGGTGGCAAAAGTCAGGGGTCAGGGGCGGGGCTTGCATGTCAAAGATGGTGGCCAGGGGGCGGGGCTTCTGTCAAGGGGTGGAGCTTCAAGTTGGACTGCAGCTGTAGCCCTTCTACTCCTAGACCAGCAGGGAGGGACAGGCCAGCGCTTGGGCTGAGGCCAGGAGCGCTCTCTCTTGCCCTGTGCCATGGGCTCGGGCCTGGCTCTTCCCCTGCACGGGGTGCTGCCACCCGAGGGGGAAAGACTGTGGCGTTCACACCGGCGACGAGGGGGACTCGAACTACCCGCCTGCGGCATGCAGCACAATTGCAGGCAAGGGGAGGGAGGGAGGCAGGGGCATCCTTGCCAGGATGGCTGAGTGGTCTAAAGCGCCAGGCTCAAGGCCGCGCCCTTCCCTCGTCCTG